CTTATGTTTAATTCACTCGAAAGCAAATTAAAGGGTTTGGCTTATGGATGAAAGAGAAAATTAGGTTATTTTTTTCCCTGAGAGTTACCAAGGCTACTGCAGCCCAGAGAAAGCCACACAGCTTGGCGAGCTGCTGTTGACAGGGCTGTTTGCACATCTTAAGTGGATTTAGGAGAAGTGGCTCCATCTCAGGAATTGGGAGCTGGACCAGACACGGTGTCACACCTGGCAGGGACAGCACGCTGTTGGGTCTGTCTAACCCAGGGATCTTTCCCAAAATAGTCCTTCCTGCTCCTTGCTTCAGCAGGGGCGATGAGCAGGGAGCCTCCAGCAGAGGGTTGTGTGGTTTTTCAGAGGCTCAGGTGCTTTAAAGCACATCCTGCACCTGGGCATGGTGCCCCCAGCATTTCCCTGTGACAGAAATGCTGCCCCTCACTCCAGGTGTGCCCAGGGCCAGCTCATCCTGCCACGGCTCACTGGGAATTCCATCTGGCAGAGAAAGGGTGCATCGAGTGCCCTTTGCAAGGAAACTTCGCTTGCAGGTTCATGACTTCAGGCTCTGTACTATTTCATCCTGTTTCTGCTCATTCTTGAGATCTTCTGTGAGATACTCAGCTCCTGCTATGTTTCATGGAGGTTTTTCATTAGAACTTAATTTCCATCTTGGGACCCAAAATTGTTATGGCAAATCTTAAACCAATCAGTTGTTCAAGGCCAGGCTGGACAGGGCTGGAGCCCTCTGGGGCATGGAAGGTGTCAGGGGCTGGAACAGGATGGGCTTTAAGGGCCCTTCCACCCTAAACCATTCCATGAATCTATAATTCTCATTTCTCAGCACATTTTCCTTCTCAGTGCACTTTGCTTTTCCCACCCTCCTCGGTGGTTCATATTACAGAAAGCAAAGTTGTCACATTGATTTTTTCTGAGGGATCTTACGGACGCCAAGGCAAACACAGAACTGGGTATCAGCCATGATTCTTCCTTCATTTCTGGACAGGGTCTGTCCAGCTTCCCTTGTTTCCTTTCGAGGTGTCCCCTGAATGAATGGACAAAGAGTACAGGGAGATCGAGGTCATTACATCATTCAAATTCCCTTTTCCCTTTGGAAACATCAAAATTGCTGCAAGCCATGGAAAGTCAAACCTGCTTGGCAATGAGTTTACACACCCTGAGGTGCTGAGACCCTCCAGGGTCCTTGGGAGAATGAAGATATTCCTGAAAAGGTTTCACAGCAGCTGCAGTTACTGGGGTTTGCTTTGGTTTGATTTGATCCTAAATGCTAACAAGCAACTCTCCTACTCTCCTGCCAGTCCAGTTTCAGAGGCTGAATTGTTCCAGAAGTTCAGCAGTGAGAGGGTCCCACAAGAGCACATCTGCAAGCAATAAAGAGGAGCAAGAGGAAAAGCTCCTAAACACAACCCGCAGGTTTAGTGCACAGCTCCTGCACCCTCCCAAACAGCTGACAGGCCAGAGCCAGGACCCTGCTCCTGCCCCTCCTTCGCTCAGGAGCAGCCACTGACCAGAGAGGGGCTGCAGAGCAGGTGAGCTGGGGCCCCAGCAGCAGGAAATGCAGGTCCCAGGAGAAGCAGGGGATGCAGGTCCCAGCAGGGGATGCTGGTCCCAGCAGGAGGATGCAGGTCCCAGGAGAAGCAGGGGATGCAGGTCCCAGCAGGGGATGCAGGTCCCAGCAGCAGGGGATGCAGGTCCCAGGAGAAGCAGGGGATGCAGGTCCCAGCAGGGGATGCAGGTCCCAGCAGGGGAATGCAGGTGCCAGGAGCAGGGGATGCAGGTCCCAGGAGAAGCAGGGGATGCAGGTGCCAGCAGGGGATGCAGGTTCCAGGAGGAGCAGGGGATGCAGGTCCCAGCAGGGGATGCAGGTCCCAGCAGCTTCTCCAGCTCAGGAGAGGGTGGCTGCCCTCAGCAGTGAGCTCACCACCCATGGAAAGTGGCACTGCAGCTCTCCTGCCTTGCTCCCACGGCTGGTTTGGGATTTGGAGCCCATCTCTGGCCATGGGATTGTGCATGGCAGGGTCCTGCACAGCAGCCTTGAGAACACACACCAAAGCTGTCCTTGCTTTCCAGTGGGACCAGTTTCACTCTCACAAGTGCATTTCTTTTAATCAGCATATTTTCTGTGCTTTCTCTGCCCAGTGATTTCTCCACGGACCTACCCAAACAATCCTTTCTTTCACTGCCTTTGCTAAATCTGTTGTCTGGAGCTCTGGGGAGCAGCTTTTTGGGATAGGTGTAACAGGAGCAACAATGGGGTGTTTTTCCAGCTGACTGATCAGTACCTTGACTCATCTGCACAGAAAGGGAGCAGGTGACTTTCGGGGGGGTGGAAGGGGTGGCTTCACTGCACTCATCCCAGCAGCCACCCCGCGAGGAGGGGAGAGCCAGCTCCGATGAATGAGGCAGCAGGGAACAATGGCTCCTCTCTGCACAGCATCTGTAGGAACTTCTCTGGGCAGCTTTTCCCAGTGCAGCCCTTGTCTGTCCTGGTTGTCCCACCAGTAATTGCAGGAGGCAGGAAATGCCTCCCTGGGGGGATGGCCAGGGGGGTTGTCTGTGCCTGGACTTTCCACGTCCCCAAACCCCCCGTTTTTTTATTTCCTCTTCAGACTGAGGAAGAAATGATGCTTTCACTGCGCTGACTCCTTGGCAGCTTCCCCTTGTCCAGAGGGGAGGCTGCAGCCCGTCCTCAGCCCGGGTGACACCAAGGCAGGCTCCACGCTGCTCCCCCGGCTGTGGCTGCCAGCAGGCAGGAATTCAGGCAGCTCCCCTGGGCTGACCAAAGGAAGGATTTCCTGCTGCTCACACCTCAGAGAGGGACAAGAGCCAGGGAAAGCAAGTCCTCCCATGCCAGCCCTCTCACGTGAGGGGGCACACTGAGCTAAAGCCATCCCTTTGGTGGGATGGGGCTCAGGGCACCTCCTTTGGTCCAAGAGCACCAGAATTCCTCATTCCTAAGGGAGGAAAAGACATTTGCCAATGTTGTTTTTTTTTCATTTGTTAAAACCCCACTAAAACTCACATATGTTCCAGTGATTTTTTTTTTTCCTGGACAAACAGCCACTTCAAAAATAGAACACCGAAAAAGAATCTGCAAAATAATTAAAAATAATAATAAGCAGAGAAATCCAATCATTTCCCCAGTTTCCCAGTTGATGTTTCTACTGCAGCTCAGTGCAATTTCAGCTTGAAATTTGCTTAAACATAATCATATTCTTCTTACAGAAATCAAAAAACCCAGCTCCAGAGCAATGTTTTTTACTCCAAATGAGGCTTTATTAACACTTTCTTTTTCCCCACTGAGCAGCTCAGGAAATGCTCATTTTGGGTGTGAAATACAGTTGCTAGAGACACTCATGTATTTACAACTTTTCAATTCTGGCAGAGGACTAGGAAACCTGTTAAGTGGATAGTTCCAGACTGGAACATGGTAGAAGCTTTCAAAAGGAGAGGAAGGCCGGGGAGGAAGGCCAAGGATCACACTTGCCTTTTGATTTTCCAAGCGGGAACTAAAAAAAGGAAAAAATAAAATAAAAAGTACTTTCTTGACTTTTTCTGTTTGATGTATAACACCTACAAATGGCTGTATGAATTATTTCCCTTCTCTGTTTTACTCCTGAAAAATAAAAGAGTGCAGTTCCTTTGCAGGAAGGATTAATGAGGTGATGCCACGAGGAAATGCAAGTTAAGAACCCTGAACAGCTCCAGCAGAAAAAAAAACCAAAACAACCAAACTTCCCAGAGCATTTAAATACCTGTTCAGTGAAAAGATCTGAGCCAGCAGTGGGAAAAAGCTCTCTCTGCAAATATCCAAAAGCACTGCCTGTGAGAACAGTGTCCTGGTCACCCCCTGAAGCATCCAGGGAGCCAGGGAAGGGAAGGGAAGGGAAGGGAAGGGAAGGGAAGGGAAGGGAAGGGAAGGGAAGGGAAGGGAAGGGAAGGGGGCTGTGTTAGGAGCAGCACAGCACCCTGGCTGGGAACAAGGCTGTCCCTCCTCCGTCGGTCAGTTAATTACTGGGGAACCTGAGGATGTCACTTCACATTTTGTGTCTCAGGTACTCCATGCATGAAATGGAGGTAGTGAAAAATGATGCTCACTCATCATAATCATAAAGATTAAGGAGGCAGGCTGTGCTGCTCGGCTCCCCAAGCCAGGGTCACCTGCTGGGCCGTGGGGATCAGAGCTGGGGGAAGCACCAGGGAATGGTGGCGAGGGACCAGAGCACCGCGGGGAAGGAGGTGTGGGGCCCTGCACATCCCCCGAATTACAGAGGCTTTTGGAGGACAACTGGGAGGTCATCACATGCAGGGGACTATGGAAGGTGCCGTGGCCGGGACGGGGGTAGCACACGGCCCGAATCTTCAGGGCAGTGTCACTGCCAGCAGCTGTCGGGAGCAGGACACGTCTCCAATGTGATGGGTCCGGTGCTTCCATCCGACTGGGAGGGCTGGGAGGAGGGCAGAGACGCCGGGACCCTGCCGGAGGGCAGCGGGTGAGGAAGAAGCCAGCCGGGCTTGCAGGGCCACGGCCAGGAGCCGGGTGCAGTGGATCGCGGCAGGACCCCCGCCCGGGGCTGCGGGGCGGGAGGCGGGGGCCGGGCCAGGCCCCTCCCCGGGCCGGGCGAGGCGGCGGGGCTGCCCGGAGCTCGGGCACGGCGGAGCTGCGCCCGCCGCGAGTCCCGCTGCCGAGACACGAGGGAGAAAGCAAAACACAAAAACACACCACAAGGAGGGAAAGAAAAAAAAAAAAAGAAAAAAAAAAAAAACCCAAGGAAAAGATTATAGTGAGAAGAAAGGCACATTAAATAATCAATGCTCCTGCAATAGCCGTGCCCACCCGGGCGGCCCCTCCGCGGAGCATGGCGCGGGGGGCGCGCAGCGCGGCGCGGCCGCGGGCATGACCCGGGCTTGGAGCGGGCCGGGGGGGCCGGGCCGCGGGGCCGCCTCCCTCCCTCCGCCCTGCCCAGCCCTCCGCGCATCCTCCGGCTCCGCCGAGCCGCGCCGAGCCGCGCCGGGCCGGGCCGGGGGTCCGAGCCGAGCCGAGCGGGAGGATGAGGGGCGTCCTCTGCTTCTGCACCCTGATCCTCCTGGGTGAGTAGCGCGGCGCGGGGGCGGCGGGGGCGCAACTTTGTGCCGGGCTCGCTGGCGGGGGCATTTCGGGCACCCCGGGCGGGGAGATCTCCGCTCCCCAGCGCTCACGGAGCGGCGATGAGCCCGGGTGGCATCACCGAGCCCGGCTGGACGGGCTGGGAGCCGCTCGGGGAAGGTGCCGCTGCCCGAGGCAGGGCGGTCGGAACGAGATGCTCGTGAGGGTCCTTTCCAGCCCGAACCGTTCCACGGCTCCGTGCCCATCCATCGGCTTTCTGCCGCCTCCTCCGCTCCGGACCCGCGCGCTGGGCTCGCTGCTGTCCTTTCGGATGCCCTGCTTGCCGCGGAGGTGCCAGATGTGCCCGCGGGTTCGGGCGCTTCCCGGGGCACAGCGGCTGTGCTGCGAGCGGGCAGGAGGATTTGCAGAGCGCCGGGAATGCCCCGGCGTGCGGGGCTGGGGCAGGTCCGTGCGGGGCTGGGGCAGTTCCGTGCGGGGCTGGGGCAGGTGTTGCGGGGCTGGGGCAGGTCCGTGCGGGGCTGGGGCAGGTCCGTGCGGGTGGCAGCCCCAGCTCTGTCACCGCTCTGTCACAGCCCCGGCGAGCCGCGCGTGTGCCGGGCTGCCTCGGGGGTCCCTGCTGAGATTCCCTCACAGCCCCCGGACCCAGCTGTCCTCAGGGCTTTGTTCCTGCACCGGGAGCAGGCAGTGGGGACCCCAGGTGTTCTCTCCATCCCTGCGGAGCGCTAAAGGCAGCCCTCGTCCCCTGGCGTGGCTGGGAGCGCCCCGGGCCCGCGGGGATGTGGCTGCAGCTCCGGGGCTTTGAGCATCCCGCTCGCAGCCTCCGCTCAGCCCGGAGCGGCCGCTCCTCCTGCTCGGATCCCGGGGCTGCCGCGTCCCTGGCACGGAGGGGACGTGGGTGAGGGGGCTGCAGCCCCCGGCAGCGGCTGGGACTGCCCGGGTGCCACCCCGGCTCCTCCCCGTGGGGCATTTTGTCCCTTCCCGGGGGGGCACCAGAGCCAACATTGAGCCTGTGCTTAAACAGACCAGGAAGGGCTGCGGGGAGGCTGGGAACGGGACGCGCCTGTTCTCTTCGGGTGCCCCTGCAGGAGGAAAAGGTCTTGGGGTGACTGCAAGCGGCTGGGACATCGTGGGGCGCCCGGCACTCGCTCCCTGCAGGGCCCGCACCCCGCTGGAGCCCCGCTCCTGGGGAGAACCGAGCCCCTGGGGAGAACCGAGCTTCTGGGGAGAACCGAGCTCTGGGCAGGACCGAGAACTCCTGGGCAGAACAGAGCTCCTGGGCAGGAGTGGGCAGGACAGAGCCCCGGCAGGACCGAGCCCGGGCAGGACCGAGCCCCGGCAGGACCGAGCCCGGGCAGGACCGAGCCCCGGCAGGACCGAGCCCCGGCAGGACCGGGCCCCGGCAGGACCGAGCTCCGGGCAGGACCGAGCTCCGGGCAGGACCGAGCCCGGGCAGGACCGAGCTCCGGCAGGACCGAGCCCCGGCAGGACCGAGCCCGGGCAGGACCGAGCCCGGGCAGGACCGAGCGGGTTCTCCCGCGGTGGGAGGCTCTCCCGGAGCTCCAGGTGTCTCCCCGTGCCGGCTCTCCCTGTCACTAGATGTCAGCAGCAGCAACTCTTCCCACATTGAGCCTGTGCTTAAACAGACCAGGAAGGGCTGCGGGGAGGCTGGGAACGGGACGCGCCTGTTCTCTTCGGGTGCCCCTGCAGGAGGAAAAGGTCTTGGGGTGACTGCAAGCGGCTGGGACATCGTGGGGCGCCCGGCACTCGCTCCCTGCAGGGCCCGCACCCCGCTGGAGCCCCGCTCCTGGGGAGAACCGAGCCCCTGGGGAGAACCGAGCTTCTGGGGAGAACCGAGCTCTGGGCAGGACCGAGAACTCCTGGGCAGAACAGAGCTCCTGGGCAGGAGTGGGCAGGACAGAGCCCCGGCAGGACCGAGCCCGGGCAGGACCGAGCCCCGGCAGGACCGAGCCCGGGCAGGACCGAGCCCCGGCAGGACCGAGCCCCGGCAGGACCGAGCTCCGGGCAGGACCGAGCTCCGGGCAGGACCGAGCCCGGGCAGGACCGAGCTCCGGCAGGACCGAGCCCCGGCAGGACCGAGCCCGGGCAGGACCGAGCCCGGGCAGGACCGAGCGGGTTCTCCCGCGGTGGGAGGCTCTCCCGGAGCTCCAGGTGTCTCCCCGTGCCGGCTCTCCCTGTCACTAGATGTCAGCAGCAGCAACTCTTCCCAGTCCCAAAGGTGGGTGGGGGGGTCCGTCCGGCCCCAGCAGGGTCTGGCCGTGCCCAGGCAGGGCCCGCTGTGCCCGGGGGCTGGGACAGCCCGGGAGCGGGCACGGCCCGGCTGATGGCCGCTCCATCCCGGGGCAGGGGCCGTGCCCGGGCAGGGCTGGGCTCAGCCTCCCCCCTGAGGCTCTCGGGGCTCGGGTGGCAGTCCCGGTCCCTGCGGGATCCGCTTTCCAGGCGGCTCGCATTGGCTGCCTCACGGATTGACTGCCTGATGGCTGACTGGTGGGCTGATCGATTTCTCTGGAGAAAGTGGGCTTAGAGAAATGAGCAAATGGCCGGTCCCATTGTCGGCAGTGCCGCTGGGAATAGGGGACAGGTGTCAGGGATACACTTGTCACCTCTGCTCCAAGCCAGAGCAAAGCCATCCGCTGCTATTCACCCTTTGCCCTGGGGTCCTGGGGTCTCCAGAGGGACCTTTTCACCCCTGGACTGGCATTTGACCCCTGCAGGCACAGCACCACCCCAGCAGCTGCTCCTGGACACCCTCAGCCTTTTCCCTAGGTATTTTTGGGATGTTTGTGTGGATGGACATGGAGATGTGCCAGGGAGATTCCCTGCAGGGATCCAGGGCTGGAGAGGGCAGGCACCAGCCTGGCAATTCCCAGCTTCATCCCCACTGGCTGTGCACCCTGTGGGCTGCAGTGCGAGCTCCTCACTTTTGGTGTGTCCCCTCTGGCATTTTTGGGATGATCCTGGCTGCAGGAGGCAGTTCTTGGTGAGATGAGGGCTCTGCTAAAGGCACTGTCACCATCAGCCAGCCTGCATGGAGATGCAGGTTCCTGCTGGCACAAGCACACAGGGTGGCCTGGAGCAGGCCACTTGCAGAACTGAACAATGTTCTCCTTTTCCTCAGCTGCTTTTCAGCCAGATCAGCTCCCTGAGCTGTCCCCCAGCAGCCACACTGAGGAAGAAGCCAGCCGGGCTTAGGCGTGCGGGGCTGGGGCAGGTCCGTGCGGGGCTGCATTGGCAGTGCAAGGACAGAGCAGGAGCACCGTGCCACCCCTGGGGACCAGGGCATGGCACTGGGCAAGCTCGTGGCTGCTGTCGTGTGCCCTGCTATTTACTTGGATAGAAATCCCACCCTCGGGGCAGTGGTGGGGCTGTCAGGGAGACTTTGGAGAATCAGGGCTCCAGGAAGCACTGATGGAGTGCATGGAGAGAGTGTGATAATTCGACAAGGACGCTGGGCTGCACTGTGAGCAGCCCCAGGGAGCTGCCAGCTCTCAGGACACTCTGCACTGACAGGACCCTGGGCTGAGGTGAGGATGGGCGCTGGGCACAGCTGGACTTTGCTGTGGGAGCAGGAGTCAGCTCTGGCCCTGGCAGGAGGAGGCAGGAGCTCCAGGGGGCTCCAGGGATTATTCCTGCTGCAGCTTTCCCTGGCTGGTCCCTTGCAAGGTTCCCTGTTTGCCACAGGCTCCTCACAGATCCCATCAGACAGGGATCATCTGGAGGACCTTCACTGCTTTGGGAACTCAGATCCCATGGAAAGAGCAGAAAAAATCTCTTGAAAAATGCACCTGTGTGTGTGTGAGAGAGAGGGAAACTCTCCTCAAATTAGTGGCTTTGTCAGTTCTGACAGGAGCAATCCGTTATTTGCATCAAGGAATGTGATAATTATGTCTGTCCGTGTTGGTGCACAGGAGAAATAAAACTTCTTCCTCAACAGGCTGCCCACAAAATGCTGTGCAGATCCCTCTGCAAGGACCTTACCACACCCAGAAAATATTTTTTCCAGAGCTCTGCAGCCTTAAATAGTAATTATTGCTGGGTAAAAATTAGTACTACTTAAGGCTAATAATTAGTATGAATTACTGTGAATAGCATTTTATTTTGCTTTTGGAGACAGAAATGTCTTCCCTGCTCTCCTGGCAATTTTCACAGATGATTTCTATTGTGCCTGAAATTCTCTTCATCATTTTCACACAAGACTTGTTCAGTTTTATAACTCACCACTTGGTCATTTTAAAACATGACTTCTAATGTCTCTAAAGTTTGCCACCTTTTGATAAAAATACCTTGCTCCAAGATATTCATGATTTCTTTTTCCCTCAAGTGGACTTTATATTCCTTTTGCTTCCTTAAAATATATATAAATGACCTCTTTCTTCTCAACCCAAAAGTGAGAAAGGACAAATTGAAAGGCAGTTCTCCTGCTAGAAGAATTTTTTCAGAAGAACACATTTCAGTGAAAAAATAAAAAGGAACAAAACTATGGGAAGCTTGTTCCTGTCAATCTTCAGCTCAGTACAGCTCCCTTGTTTTGAAAGCATCTGTCAGAATCCCCCCTGGCAGCACCTCCTGGCAGTGCCCCGTGCCTGCAGGGCCGAGGGGCAGGGCTGGGCAGAGCTCACCCACCTGAGCCCCTGCCTGCCTCCCTCTGCTGCATCCCAGCGGGGCTCTGGGGGGCTGGACCTCTGGGAAAAGGAGGCTGGATCCCTGGAAAGCAGGCTGCACCCCTGGGAAAGCAGGATGGATCCCTGGGAAAGGAGGCTGGATCCTGGGAAAGGAGGATGGATCCCTGGAAAAGCAGGCTGGATCCCTGGGAAAGCAGGCTGGATCCCTGGAAAGCAGCATGGATCCCTGGAAAGCAGCCTGGATCCATGGGAAAGCAGCCTGGATCCCTGGGAAAGGAGGCTGGATCCATAGGAAAGCAGGCTGGATCCTTGGGAAAGGAGGCTGGATCCTGGGAAAGGAGGCT